TTACACTTCCTGCTTTATAAGTTTAAGTTTATATCATTAAAAGGTGGTGAAAATGTTTCTCTCTATAAAGAAAAGTACACATTGAGAGTAAATCACAGCCATGGGTTACACAATCAACTCCTTTAGTTATCAAAAACATCTTTATTGAAAATGTACACGCAAATATACGTGAGCAAAACAAAGTTCATTTGCAGACATTTGAAGATGACATTCAGATTCAAGACATAAGAGGAACGGTAGAATCATAAAAACACTTACCTGTTCTTCAATAGTCTAAATTAGCATGGAACCTTAGGGTGCCCATTTTGCCGGGACACGATGTCAAATCATTCATGAGTGATTTGGTGCTTTTTTTTTTTTTTTTTAATTCTACCTCCACTCTGCTTGACAATAATGATTAAGGCACATTGTGTGACTCACTGACTAACATTTAGTCAGAACATCTACAAATGTATGTTTCAAATTCAACTCACTTTGTGTCAACCTGGAAGTTTGTGAACTAAAACGGAACATTCCAGTGGTTACTTCAGATGTAAAAAATAAACCTTTGCAATATACAATCTATATACACAACTATCAAAAATATTATATTCCAAGAAACATACAACATATCAGAAGTATGAAGCATATTCAGAAAGAAACACAGCATTTCAAATATTCACCTTCCTAAAAGTTGTACTCTTACATGGTTGTCAAAAAGAAAAATCACAATTTTTTAGTGCAAACCCTTCCAGATGTGTTCACAAGGAAGGGAAACAGATCTCCATGGGAAATATAAATGAAACCAGCAGGGGTCCAGAGATATGTTGATGGACGGGGAATGTGATCTTCAACCCCAAATAAAAAGGGTCCTCAAAAAATAAAGTTTTATTCTGAAGAAGCCCACAGTGTTACCTATGCTATTATTTACCCAGGAATCTGTTTGAGAAGAGACATGTTCAAAAGGCTTTGGAACAAATTGATGAAACTGATTTATGACAGGCAACAAGAAGCAAATAAATCTAACGATACTTAATATGTAACGTGAGGGAAATGTTATTTCCATCCTCATGGAAAGCCTTTAAACAAAGGCAAAGCAAGAAATCAGCAACTGAATGAGTCAAATCTTATCTCTTGAAGAGAAAATTAATAAAGCAAACTTCAGTCATGTTCGGTCAAACTTATATGTGAAATCTAACAGCAAACACAAAGTATGTACACATCACTTCTCTCCAAAGTGCCACCATGGTTCATCAGCATCCTTTCTGCTCTACTACCTTCTCAGACACAACAGGTAAGACGAGATGAGAGATGCGACTCCACAGTCCACTGAATTTGTCATTGTCCATCTCATTGAAGTCAGTTGGGCTGCTGGAGCCGACGAGCCTTTTTTTAACAAAGTCATGCACCATCTCCTCCAAATCCCTCAGGCTCACATCAGCCCCTACCTCATCTTGAGGCAGAAGCACAGTAAACAACAGGAACACCCGTTTGTAGGCAGCATTCTCATGATCGCAGTAGCGGTAAAAAATAAGAGTGGAGCCGGGAGGCAGCTCCTCGAAGCGGTGTATTACCGCAACAGGTTTGTCTCCTTCAAAGGCTGCTAGCAGCTCTTTGTCGATGTCCAGCTTGACCTTATCACTGTCCTGACTGGCTTTGCTGACTCCATCTATGTGGAGGACAGAGGTGTTGAGGGCAGAGGAGTAAGAGGAGGCCAGGCCCTGAGCTAGACAGTGCAGCGACCTCTCAGCCCGGAGCCCAGCAGTCAGGATCAGGCTGACCGGCTCTGTGGGCTGGGCTGATTGGAGGTGCTTCTCCAGGTGGATCTTGATCCTTTTCCACACCTCAGCTTGCTGACTGGGAAATTGAGTCTCAAGGAGAGACAACTGATCTGCAAACATTTCCGGTTTCACAACCCTGGCTGGAGACTCGCCCTCACATGCAGTATTTCTGTGTACCATGTGGCTCTTGTATGCCAGAAAGACAGCAGAACTGAGCAGCACCAGGAGAACCAAACACCAAAAATACCACATGAATCCTAAAATAAAGCAAAGGCAGTGTTGAAATGTAGGTAGATTAATCATGTTTAACAACTATATGAAAATATAAATATAATTGTATATAAAAAAAACCTTGCGCTTACCTCTAGATGACTGACTTTCTTTGATCACAGCAGTTTTCTTCTTCCCTTCTGTCGGACACATTCTAATTAAGAAAGGTACTCCCACATGACATGTTGCTTAGGATTTTGATATTTGGATGAAGCTGATACCTTGTTTTTTGTGCCGTGCAGCATCTTTTTGGTTCGGTAAGTTGTTCACATGTCTTCTCTTTATAAGCGGTTCCTGTGAGGCTGGACAACCGCTAAGATGATGGTTAACTGATGGTAAACCTAAAGATTAGGCAGATCATATTGTTACATATATCTGATCATTTTGAGATGTGAAATCAATTTACAGATCCTAAATGCAACTTTGTTTTATAAATAATTCTGAAAAAAAAAAAAAAAAGTACACATTACCAGAGCTCCTGGCTTTGGCCTCCATCGTCCTTTGGTACTCAACCATGCTGCTGATCTTAGGAATGGACACATTATGTCTCTGCGCCGGAAGTTTGATCCGCACGGCAGATTTAGCGGGGGCTTCAGGTCCTTTAGACGACGGTTTTACTGAAAACAAACAGGAAAAGATGAGATGATAGTTTTATTTCCCCCCCCCTGACAAAGTATTTCCCATGCAGAATGAAGCAAAAGTGTTTCCAAACCTATCTTTGTTTTTGTCAGGTCTGCATTTTCTATAAGAGCATGACCGGACCGGCAGCGTTCTCCAAGAGCTACCCGAGGGAGTAAATTCACATCTCCAAGTGCGCCTGGAAGATTTAGAGGAAAACACATTGTACACATAATAATACAGGAGTATGTACAATAGATGACATATTAAAACACACTTAGACAGATAACACTAAACTTTCAGTGTTGCTTTTAGTGTTTACATAATTCTCAATTATGTACATTTATAAGTGGCCTATGTTGCATGAAATAAGGAATACGAATATTTCTCTTTTGGGGTATGTATACAAACTTACATATTAATTAAATACTTTAATACAAAATAGTAAGTATATTCATTGATTGCATATCATACATACCATGGTATGATTTTGGTTGAAGAAAGATTTCCTGCCTAACATTCATGTCCTGGTCTTTACTTTTCTTCAGGTCTTCAGCTGACTCCTGGACATCCATCTCAACTTCATCACCCCCACCACCTTCTTCTCCTCCTTCAGTATCCAGACGGCTCTTTTTGCTGGGGGAACCTGTAACAAAACAAAAACACAAATGGTTTGGTCTTACATTTACAGCACTTAAGGACTTTCGTCACTCGTTAAATTTTTTCTTTTTTTTCCAAAATATTTTTATTGAAAAAAATACAAAACGATACTTCCAATCACAGAAATACAATTTACCTTTTTCCTTTTCAACATATATGTATATGTACTCACAGTCACATAAATACATGAAAAAGAAAATAAAAAAGAGAAAATAACCAAAAAACAAAACAAAGCAAAACAAAAATACTCTGATAAGAATGTAGAAGACAATAATTAAATTAAATCACAGAGTAGAGTGTAATAAACAATGCACTCGTTTAATCGAAGCATCTCACCTTCATCCTCAGAGCCATTCTCCACGTCTTTGGACCCATTGACAGCTGGAAGTGGAGCTTGACTTCCTGAAGTCCTCTTGGTCCTCTTGAGGGGGCCTCTGGGGGCCGGTGCTTCAACACACACTGCTGGAAACGTGCAAAACACACATGTATTTATTAACGAACTCAATACAACACAGTAGTGCAGTCTGTAGTCTACACTGGAAAAGATAGCAATCAGGAGTTCCAAACGTAGTGAAAAGAGTTTGTTGTTAAAGTTTAAGGATAGCTTTGAGTGTTCAGCTAGCTATGTTGAGTATGAAGGTTTACCTGGTGGTCGTCTTGTAGATCTCCTTAAGGAGCGACTTTCTGTCATCCTGGAATCCATTTATGATCTGCTACGACTCGAGTGACGCTAAAAACATGAATTAAACAACGCGGATAAACACCGTGCTCGATAACAAAAAAACAGAAACCTGACTTCCCTGTGGTTGTGAGGGGAATCAATTTGTCACAAGGCGACAGCTGGGGTGCGTTCCAATTGTCCCTCCTATCTCCTTTCACTGTCCACTTCACCTTAACCCCGGGGGGGGGAACACTTCATGAGGTTAAGTAAAGATGTTAGGAGAATTCATAAAGGATTTAGGGAACCACTTAGCGACCACATTTCCACTAGGCGACGTCATTAAATGCGACGGGCCGGCGGAGGTTAATGACGTGAGTCCGCCGCGTAGAAACTACAATGTTCCGAAAATGGACTACAAAAAGATAATCTAAAAAACTTTTCCCCTGTGCCTCCTTATGGTGAAATAATCCTAATCACCACAAGGTTGGGATTGAAATAAAAGAAATATAGACTACCAGGCTACGAGTAAGAAAAGTGAAACCATCAGCTTCCTGTCCACTCAGAAATCAAAATAAATATAATTGTATGAAATTAATTGTTACATTTATACACATAATGTTTTATACAAATATACAACTGCACAGCATTCTTAAGTGGATGAAATATGTTGATAAAACATGATCTGTGTCACTTTACGATCATCGTTCATTTCCGTGAGCGGTCGGATGCGCGACTCGCTTTAAATGTGGGGCGGCATGTCTCCTCTCCTTTGGTTAAAGGATGGTCCAGTGCATCCTAAACTAAAGGAGGTTATAAAGGAAGCATTGACCCACCTTTCCTTTTGCTTTTAGAGAATTCGAACGGATCTTATCACGGCCGCCTCTTAAATGCATCCGGGTCATTTCACTCAGTTAGGAACCTTCCTAAGCAAAAAAAAAAAAAAGAAGTCAATTCGAACGCACCCTTGATGTCCAGGAAATGAGGTCCACCACATGTATTTATGTAACAAGAAACAAGAGCACGGATGAAGGTTCCGCCTGAATGTTGGCGAGCTGTCAGTGCGGCGACTCACGTAACTAAAAAGATAAGGAACTGTAATGTTAGTAATAAACAACGGCAATGTGATTAACCGTGCTTTAGGTAAGTTAAATCAACGACTATTTAACACTTTAAATACGTTGATTGAGTTAATGTATTTGTAATTGATTAAAGCCATGTATTATTTTGCTTGTTGGCTAAAGTAGCTAGCAGGATAGCATAACGTTAGCTAACCTTTTACTCCCATTGTTGTACATTACATGCTTTATTCTGAAAGTGCTACTTGAAACTAACACACAGCTAACGACTATCTGCGCACAGTGTTTGGATTTAATGAGCCGAAAACACTGCAAAGAAAGCGACAGAATCCCTTCTTTAAATGATTCAAAGTCAGGATTTATCTGTGTAAACATTGTTTAAACGACAAACAGAATCTAAAGGTAGGGTCCTCTTGTGTCTTGTCTCCAGAATAAAACATGACAGAGCAACCTGCCGACAACAACCCCCAGCAGACAGCAGGTACTGTAGTCTCTGTGAGGACACCTCCCTCTAAAAGAGTAGATTTACAGTCCATATAATAAACACACAACAGTCTGTAACACTACCGACACATTCATCACTTCTGTCTTTATGTTGTTTATTTGATTTTAGATGACAGGGAAGAAGAAACACAGTTAATCAATATGGATCAGGGCTCAGCAAGTGATGGATTCAACAGGAGGAGACTCTGAACCTAAAACAACCAGATGGTAAACCATACAAGGAAGATCAATAGTCATCAATACATTTGTTTACCATCGTATTTCAGCATCCAGTTTACTAATCCAGTTTGTTTTTTTTGTCTCACCTGACTAGATTCAGCTTCGTCGTCTGCATGCACGAACAGCGAGACGAGAAACAAGTCGAGTGAAGTCATGGAGCAGGCTGACGTTAGTCAAAGTGAGTCAATCTTATTATATCACTTCTTCATAACAGCTTTTCTTTTCCTTTGAATTGTCCTTCATAAACAAACATCATGGTCTTGGAAAAATCTATAGGGGTTTATTCTCAACCAGAGCTTAAGAAATGAGTCATTGAGTTTGACAATAACTAAAAGTGTCTTCTGGTTTTGTCTTTAGACTCTAATCCAGCTGAGGAGAAGATGGCACCTCTCACAGAAGGATCCTTCTCTCTAGATCATGACAACATGCTGACTATGGAGGAGAGCAGCGTCTCAACACAGACTGATGATGAGAGTCATGGCGATTGCAACAGAGAGACACCAAAAAATGAGCAGCCGGCCATTAAAGCAGAGGACATTTCCAGTAAGTGTTTCTATTAAAGTATTTTAAAAATGATTGAGACATCATTATTCATTGTTTTCATATGCTTTATGTTGGGGCCTGACCGATATTGGATTTTTGGGGGCGATATCGATATTGGGGAGAAAAATGAAGACATATCGGCCGATATCTTTCTTAGATCTATTTCGATCTTTAGAGATAGAGAGATATAGATATACACACACATTTACTGTGATGATCCCTCAGTTGTCAAACACTTGTGGAAAATATATGCAGTATATAATGAAGACAACACCTGCATGCTGGTGCTCCATAAGTGGCATGCCATGTGCAACTTTTCGAGCTCGGCACTGCTGTACATTTTTTTCCATGTGGAATAGCTCTTAACAAGTTTAATTTGTTAAAGTTTTAAATAATGTCAAAGTTGTGTACCTGCCCTCTCAAAGGGCACAATGAGGGGTTTTTGTTTCTGTGAAATGAGGGCAGAGCATTGACATTTTCCTACTGTGCTGTTTCCAGCTGTTTTACACGGCTTTGTACTGTATTTTTCGAGTTTGGGAAACAGGTTGCTTCACATTTTGTTCTATTAAATCTTAAAGTAATACTGAACTGTCTTTTTAGTTTTTTTAGAAGGAAATATGCTTTTTGATGATACACATTTAATGTGGCTAAGTTAAGGCAAGGCTGGAAATGAAACCCTCGATGCACTGGACCTCTTATATCCCTATTTAAATGTAACTCTTTAAATGTACCTCGGGACAGAACTATGCATGAGCTGTTGATGAAGTTAAATCATTGTCATTTGACAGTAAAACCCCACGCTGAGGAAAAGACAGCACATGAAACAGCAGCTCCACAGGGAGACAAAAAGGAAGACCGAGTAGATGGACCCAAAGTCAGAGAAAATGAAGAATCCCTGGACGTTAACAACACAATCACTGAAGCAGAGGAAGGTGAGTCTGGAAATTCAGGATTTCCTTTGACTAATTATTTTTCCATTATCGGTCTGTTTTTTTTTTTTTTAATGCTGAGCGTCTGGGAGTTTCTGTTAAGATGTTTGTTGAATGTAGTTTGTGCTGAACTGCTTTTTATCCCGTTGATCAGATAATAGAAGCAGCCCTGAGAAGGGTTTAGCGCCTGTAGAAAAAGAAAAAGAAGAAGAAGAAGAAGAAGAAGACGAAATAAAGGATCCACAGGAGAACACAACCAACCAGAATATAGAATTGCAGCCCAAAATCTCAGTTAAAGAAGATATTGATGAACAAAGAAATGTCGAAAGCATTGGTCCTTCTTCTCTGGAGACTACTGAACCTGTTCTTGGAGGTAATTCAGTCCCCCCCCCCCTTTTCATTGTTCTTTCAATGCTCCCTTATACAATCATGTTTAATAGTAGTGAGACAGTTAAGAGAATAAATGTATTTTGTGTCCACAGGAAACAGAAGATACCTGATAGTAGTGGGTGTGGTGGTTCTTGCCATCATGCTGCAATATCTCTTCCATCCGGAGTCTCCACCTCAGAAAAATGATGAGCAGCAAATAGATATCTTCCTCCGGCAGATGGAAAAAGTAAAGTCTCAGTTTCCTAACCAGCGGGCTGAGCTCTGGAAAAGGAGCAGAATCCACCTGCTGAGGCACCTCCAGACCGCCCAGCCCACAGAGCCGGTCAGCCTGATCCTAACAGCAGGCCTCCGAGCTGAGCAGACGCTGCACTGTCTTGCTCAGGGCCTGGCCTCCGCCTTCTCTTCTGCCCTCAACGCCTCCGTCCTCCACATTGATGGAGCCAGCAAAGCCAGCCAGGACAGCGATCAGGTCAAACTGGACATCGACAGACACTTGCAGCGAGCGTTTGAAGGAGACAAACCTGTGGCTGTCATTCACCGCTTCGAGGAGCTGCCTCCTGGCTCCACCCTTATTTTCTACCGCTACTGTGACCACGAGAACGCCGCCTACAAGAAGACTTTTCTGATCTTCACAGTGCTGCTTGGGGAGGAAGAGGAGATCCCTGCAAAAAGTCGTTTGAGTGCTGTGGAGGAGATGGTGGACGACCACCTTCAGAAGAAGTTCCTCTCCGATAGCCTTCCTGTGTCTTACGACAGGATGGACCTGGACAAGTACGGTGGCCTGTGGAGCCGTATTTCTCACCTCATCTTGCCTGTGTCAGCGGAGGACAGGATAGAGCGTGATGGCTGCTGAAGGACATGAACCATCACTCTTTGATTATGTTAACTTGAAGGCAAAGCACTAAACTTTTTTGTCCTTTTGTCAAATTTCTCACTGTGACTTGAGTTAATTCTAAGGCCATTAAAGACCCAAAGGTTTCTAACATGAAGTAAAGTCAAACTTACTGCAAACGAAGGAATCAGGCATAAATAAAACTGGATTATTAGCATTATATTAAGGGATATTTGTATCCATCTCTGTGGACATTTATTATGGGGAAAAAGGACCTGGGTGTTTCTTCCCTTAAGTACATAATCAAATGTAAATTAAGACAAATTGCGAAATGAGCGATTATCTGGAATTTTGGGGGGATTTACCAGAATGTGTGCACTTTTTAAATGTATTGCTGCAATTTGTGTACATTTTAAAACATATTTAATGTAAAGCTTGATTGTTCTCCTATGGATAATGGTCAAAAAGAAATAAAAGGATTATTATTATCTTGGTATCACAGCACAGGTTTATTAATTTTTTTATGACATGTTCATCTGCAATGTTTAAGCATTGATGGCACCACGTGCCTTTTAAGAACTTCCCACCATCCATGTTTTGTACACACATCCATGTACCTTACTACATACAGCAAGACGTTTAATGTAAATATTTGAATAGATGTAATGTGCCTTAATTTTCAAATAAAGTACTGGCATCCACTTGTTTGTTGTCCTTGTAGTTCACACTGCTGCCGCTAGAGGGAAGCAAAACCACAGCTTAAACGGAGTAGCATCATGTCAGCCTGCCAACATTCAACAGGCAGCTGCTTTGTAAGTTATCTGCAAATGTGCTCCAGAACAACAACCAGCATGTTGAATCTTGTAGATAATTCATGATTAAACTCAATCTATGACTCGTTTTACTTCAGCACGACAACTGTGCCTCACATCGTTTTGAAGAAGTCCTCTGAAGCAGCTCCTCCTTTTAGTGAGGTCAGGTCCGCCTCCTGTCAGCGCTGCAGACGCAGATACCGGCTGCTCTCTCGCAGAGTGCACACTTTCTCCACTCTCGAAATTACCCCGCGTTATCCGTGACAATGAAAAAGATGACGTCGCGTTTAAAAGCTTGACTTATCTCATGACACCTCTCTGGATACATTTGTTTTATTCTGGAGCCACGAGCAGGCTATGCAACTTTCTTGGCAGCTACTTTATTTAGTGACGGGCTGTGCCTGCTAAAGTACTTGCAGATTATTTCTATATTCGCTGCTCTTCTAGCCTCATCATGGGTAAGTTATGCATTGTCGTCGTGGTGTGCTGTGCGCTTTTTCCACGGGGCTCTGCGGCGCCAGTGGCCGGGGGTGAAGATCCCGGGTCACAGTATGAGATCAGCGCAGAGCAGGGGGAGCGGCTGCAGGAGGAAACAGATGATCATGAGAGCATCCTCTCTAAGGTAGGAGGATCAATACCATTTGTATTTCATATTGCATATGGTTACATTTCTGTGCATACAAATTCGAACGTTTTTTGATTGAGCATGGTGGAAAAATACATTCGTCCTCTTCTCTTTTTAGCTGCTGGGTGATTATGACAAAGTGAAAGCCCTATCGGAAGGCTCTGACTGTCGCTGTAAATGTGTTGTCAGACCCCTGAGCAGGAGCGCCTGCAGGCGGATAGAAGAAGGGAGCGCCTCTGTGCAGGACTTCTACACCGTGGAGACGATCTCATCCGGACCAGAGTGCAAGTGCGCCTGCATTGCTCCTCCGTCAGCAGTCAACCCGTGCGAGGGGGAGTTCAGGCTGAAAAAACTTAGGGAAGCTGGGAAAGGGAATATCAAGGTGAAGATTTCTCCCAGTCCGTTTCTCATGCTATAGAGTCCCTCAGTACACACAAGTCACCCTGGTATGCTCGCATGTCGATTTCTATATGGATTCCTGGATTATTCCAGCTGTGACTTTTGATGAAATTCAGGAGAGTGCAGGGCTAAATGTAGTAAATTATAAGAGACCCTAGGTTCTTATGGTCAGGTGCAAGGCCGTATATTACGCATGGCATGTCTTGAATTGGCCAAACCCTTTTGACGGAATCCACTTGATCTTTTCAGCTGACCAGCATCCTGGAGCTGCTGGAGGGCTCCTTCTATGGCATGGATCTACTCAAGCTGCACTCCATTACCACCAAGCTCATGGGTCGCGTGGAACACATTGAAAAGGTACACTGCATATGTCATTTAAGTTTTGCAAAGATTGGAGAATATGTTGGTGAAACCAAAGCACACATTGGTGGTTTTAACAATGAAAGCTTCTGCATTTAGTGGGTCCATAAAAAACCCTCCCTGGGCCAGTTTTCAGATTTATTAGGGGCTGGACCTGGAAGAAATGTTCAAGCTTTCCATCACACATGGAAGTGTTAAGAGTTTTGGAGAAGACAGACTACATGTCTAAAAAACAAAAAAACAAATGACCTTTTCTGGTCTTTTTTTCCCATTGTAATCGGAAACTACTCACCAAAATCAAAGGATTAAAATGCTGATCAGATGTTTCTTAAAGCAGGATTTTTATTTAACAAAGTGTTTTAGCTGAAATTCACTGACAAAATCCAAAAGTGTATTCTTCAGTTGAGAAATAAGAAACAAGAAACGAGTTGCCAATGCCAATATTATAACAGTGAATTTATTATTCTTGAAGTGAACTCACTGAATTGCACCATAGACATCAGAACTTTATCCAACCAAACAGGTGCAGCAACAAACATGTCCTGACAGATAGAAGTCTAAAAATCTGCTAACACCTGTCTGAATGTAGTCTGGTGAGTTGTCATTTTAATAAAACTTGACTGGATTTGAAGAAGGAATTGGATACCTGCAGCAAACTAATGCTGGCTCACATCAGTTGTTGTGAGGTTGAAAAATATCCTTTATTGCCCCCACAAATGTTTGTATTTGTCTCTCCCTGTGTGTGCGGAATTAGTGGGTGAATTGGACATTGATATGTTGAGTTATACGGATCTGTGGCGCAACGGAACTTGATGTCACATTCAACACAAGTTACACCTGATGTGATGTACAAATCTGCTTCCAACACAACCGTTTTCACAGACTTGCATGCAAAGTTTATGAAATGTAGGGGTGAATCATTAATTCTATTACTTTCAGCTGTGTCTCTATCTCCTGGTACGATTCATGTATGATTCATTAGAGGCCACTTCAGAGAAAGAAAGTCTAGTGATGTCAGTTTTAGTTAACAAAGAAGCAGACTGCAGTTTAAAGTGCGTTCTAGAAGGAGTCTAAGAGAGAACATAATAGATCAAGAAAAGCATCAAATGCAGTCAAACCGTTTCAGTAGGCGATATTTAATAAAAAATTCAAAAGTGTCAAAAAAATAAAAATGGCAGCATTTAATGCTACAACTTACAAGTCCTAATGCTGTAAAAAAAATAACTGTTAATGATTCATGAACTCCACTTAAATGTTTACCCTCTCTTGATTTTGTCCATTACTGCATGAAGCTGGTATCTTTGAACAACACCATGGATGAGGTGATGCCCCAGGAGAGCCCTCGGATCCAGGTAGATGTGACTGAACGCCCACCCACCCCTTCATCCAACCAGCAACAGGACAAAAAGGGAGTCAGTGGGGTCAGCGGGGCAGCAGTGTATCAAAACCCAGAGGTTAGTTTGACACTGATATCACAAGGTTAAAAGATGCAGACAGAAACATATGTATGATATGTTGTGCTATAATTACACATTAGAATAGCAGCTTAATGACAGTGAAACATTCTCTTGACAAGGCTTTTAAGTTCTATTGCATGCTACATCTATCAATATTGTCACATTGTGAGACAGATACAGTTATACTGTTTTCAATTAAATGAACTGTAAATTAAATAAATGAGATCAGAAAAGTAACAAACAAAGGAAGTGTTCGGTTTCAAATTGTTGCTGCTTAGACTAGTGAAGCATTTTAAGTCCTAAAGGGGCAATGATGTTTTCCTCCCACTAATGCCTTCATTAAATCATTGTATCCATGCTAAAGGACAAAACATTTCATAAGTTATTAAGGTAAAGGGCAGGTCTAATATAGTTATTAATGTTTATCTGATGAGCTACTGTAAGAAGCATAGACCAAGGTTATAAATAAAAAAAGGGAAACTAGAATAAAATATTAATTAAATAATAAGATTATTCTGGATTATTGTTACTTGGGTTGCACTAGGTAGTGTGTGTGGTCATAATTTCTTAAGAGTAAACCAACATTCTGCAGAAACATCCTTTGTTTTCATTTTACTCAAATTGCAGTGAGTGCTACGTTTGAAAGTGAAAAGTAAGCAACATCAGAAAACAGTACTTTCACATTTACAGAATGAAATAGGCTAATACGTAAGAGGTACTGCTTTGTCCACAAGGCGGCACCAAATTGACCAAACTTGAAGTTCCTCACAGGAGCTTTAAATTGGTGGTTAGTGCATGTGCCCCATGTACAGAGGCCATAGTCCTCAAAGTGGGCGGCCCAGATTCAAATCCGACCTGTGGATCCTTTCCTGCACGTCATTTCCCACTCTTCATTTCCCTGATTTCTGACTCTATCCACTGTCCTATCTCTAAGCCCAACAGGAAATCTTCAAAAAAATATATTGTTCTTACAGACTGACCTCTTGGTTCAGACATGACCATGTGTTTTTGCCGAAGTTGTGCACACTCTGGGTAATCTTTAAAAGAGGTATTATAAGATACATTTTGGATATGCTGAATGATGGATGAACCTTTGAACAAATCTGGCTAAATTGTTGGTTTGTTTACAGCTTGTCTGCTTGTTGCTACTGATATCATTACGTGCGCTCAAGAAACATAGAAATAAAGCACAATACTGTTAAAAAGAATCCTTTGGCTGTGAGGTTTCTCTAAATTTTCCAAATTAGAAGGAAGAATGTTCATCTGAAATGGCTTTCGCACTGTCATATGACACCTAAACTCATTCTGTCCACCAACAGGGAAAGTATGAAGAGAAGTTTATTGAGGGAAATCCATCTTTCCTAAAGACAGATGGTTCTGCTCAGATCATTGAGGTCAGACCTCGGGTGACTATGAAGAACGTGGCTAACAAGGAGACTTCTCAGGTGTCGAAGACTGGCCCCAATGGAATGATCATCAGAGGGATGACTTTTTATAAATCTGAGCCAGATCCGATGGTGGCGGATGACGGGGAACCTGGAGAGAACTGTGAGTTCAAAAGATCATTTAACTCACCGCTTTGCTTTGAAGGTACTGTATACCTTCAACTTTTTCCTTATTAACCCCCACTTGGCTTAGAATGGAAGAGGATAAGTGGTTTGGATGGAAAATCACCTCAGGTTGATTTTGAGAGGTGGATGGAAAGAAAGGCACTCAACCTCTGTGCGTATCTGAGCTGCCTGTCAGGAACATCTGCTTGCTGTTCTCTCGGGTTCTCCAAATATTTCAGTGGGTAAAATGGGTTGGAATCTGTTTCTTCTACTGGTAGTGGCTTCTAAGTATGTTTAGGTAAATGGAAGGTTAAAGCCATTTTATAACTGTAATTAAATTACTCAATATTTTCCATTTCTCTTTCTTAGTTTTTGAGTATCATGGATTCAGTGGAGATGGCCCAATTAACCTCTTCGAGGAAAGTCTTCTTCAGCACAGAGCCGCTCTCCCCAGGCAGGGGGCTGGACCAAGATCCCCTCGACCAAAGAAAACAGGTCCATCCACCAGTTCCATGAAGACCAGCAGCAAATCAACAGAACAGAAAATAAATGAGCCCACCTCGAACAATGACTTCATCAGTGCCATAGAAATCCAATCAGCTGATTTGTCTGAAGATGTTCAGAGTGACACATCAGTCATGTTTGGCCTTACCACCACAGAAACTTCACCTGTGACTACTCTAAGAGTCTCTACTGGAACCTCTAAGTTTCCAATTCCTTTAATGGCTGAATCAACCGGTACACCTCTAAGTGTCACTGCCAAGGACACAACTAAAACTACAATTAACACAACCGAGCCCTCTGTAAATATAACAGCAGAGAACATACTACAACATTTGACATCAACAAATACACCAACCACTGGCATGGCAACCTCCACTGTAGAGATAAAAGCCATAATGCAAACTAATCCAAGCACAACTGCAGCTCATTCAAGCACATTTGCACCCAAACCAGCCACAGAAGCTTCAACTACAAGCCCGACTTCCACTATGAGAATCACAACACAAGCTGCCCTGACCACAACAGCTTCCAGCACAGCTGCCTCCACCCAAGCTGCTGCCACAACACCAGACTTAGGAATTAAATCTACCCTCTCTCCTCGCTGGACTCTGCCTCCAACTACCCAGAGACTGATCACTACTTTGCCACACACTTCTCTGCCTGTCACCACACCTGAGACTACCTCGTCTTTAGCTACAACTACCACCACAACAACCACCACTACCACCACAACTACTACTACAAGGCCGGGCAAAAGGAAATACAAAATAAGCTGGGATGAGGAAGAAAGCGTTGAAGGACACCCAGAATTAGGCGAAGCAATGCAAAGGCAGGAGGAATCTACTTCAAGAAAACCTGGTGAGAAGAGTTTTTTTTTTTTTGTAAAATGAGAGGAACGCAATGCTAAGTTTAGCTTCTTCTGTATTGAGTTGAAATTTTTTTTAGATGTTTTTTGCCTTTATTTAGATAGGACAGTGGACAGAGCAGGAATTCAGGAGAGAGAGTGAAAGTGGAGAATGACATGCGGGAATTAAGCCACAGGATGGGCTTGAATCCGGGCCACCTGCTTGGAGGTCTAGCCTTCATACATGGGGTACCTTGTAAAGGTATCTCATGTATGAAGTAAATAAAGATAAAGATAAAGTAAATAAAGATACCTTGAAATAAATAAAGATACCTTGAACCTTGAACCTTGAAACTTGGGGAACGACTTAACCACTAGGCCATCAGCGCCCCATTCATTTTTAATCTTTACAGTTTTAAATATTTGCAATTATACAACATTAAGAAAACTTGGACAAATATGTTACAGTATAAGGATTGATGATTAGATACTGAACATGCTATGCTAGAGTCATGCTAGCAGCTCCGAGAAGCTAAGCTTCGCTGTCCTTTTAGCTTCACGCTTATGTTAGCATGCTAACATTATGATGTTAAGCTAGTGTATATTTTCCATGTTACCCATCTGTGTAGCATGTTAGCTTGCTACTATGTGGAATAACAACCCTAAATATATAGTACATCCTTAGATTTGTGGATATTTTTAAAGGTTCGCCTGAAAAATCTGAATGACACCAAAGTCTGCAGATATCGGGATGATTGCATCTACACCAGACCTAATACCAATCCCTCCAAACTGTTTGGGAGACATTTAAAGCTACAGATTTTAACCTAATTTTGTGCTGGATGGAAGTAAGTACCACCAAAGCCAGCACACTTCATCCTCTGAGGACCATGAATGCATTTAATGTTATATCTGTCAAATAGTTGCTGAGATGTTGCACTAATGGACCAAATAGCAGACCAACAGACCAGCCCTAAAACCCTGTTGCTGAGGAGGCTAGAAAACACCATAGCAAGTACTTTCAGGAGCTTAAAGTCAAAGCTAATATACCGTCACTTTTCAAATTAAAATTAGTTGTAGTAAGTTTGAATAAATACCTAATGAATGGCATGGCAACACAAGTTCACTTTTCATATTCTATTGAAAGAGGTCATTTAGAAAAATATAAAATTGATGTTCCATGAATCTTTGAAGTTTTGTGTACTTTGTGGTAAAACTAAACTCTTTCCGTGATTTAAGCTGGTTAAAACAAAAGCCTTTGATTATTTTAAGACTCCTTGACGTAGGTCTGGATGATGTTAAACTGCGTCTTAATCCTCACCCATGGCTCTCTGACTCTTTCTAAGGGGAGTGTAAGGACACTTTGGCAACGATCTCACAGCCAGTGACTCACAATACCTATGGCAGGGACGAAGGAGCATGGATGAAGGATCCAAAGTCTGACGATAACAAAATCTATGTTACAAACTTCTATTATGGGAATAACCTTCTGGAGTTCAAAGACCTGGAGGTTTTCAAAGGAGGTAAGTAAGAGCCAATAGTTAAGATTTGACTTCATTATAATTTGTTTCCCTTTGTTTAACCTGATACTTCTCAATGCTCTTTACCCTTTCCAGGCAGATTTACAAACTCATACAAGCTTCCTTACAACTGGATCGGCACAGGCCATGTGGTCTACAATGGAGCTTTTTACTATAACCGTGCCTTCTCAAGAGATATCATCAAGTTTGACCTGCGCCTACGCTATGTCGCCGCCTGGACCATGCTGCATGATGCTCTAATTGAGGAGTCGTCGGTGCCATGGGAATGGCGCAGCCACTCAGACGTTGACTTCGCTGTGGATGAGAGTGGGCTGTGGATCATCTACCCGGCGCTCGATGACGAGGGCTTCTTACAGGAAGTGGTTGTTCTGAGTCAACTGAACCCTTCTGACCTCAGCATGCAGAGGGAGACCACCTGGAGAACTGGGCTTAGGAGAAACCACTATGGAAACTGTTTCATTGTGTGCGGAGTCCTGTACGCTGTCGATAGCCACAACAAGAAGGAGGCCAACCTGGAATACGCCTTCGACACGCACACAAACACTCAGATGATTCCCAGAATGCCTTTCACCAACAACTACACCCACACCACACAGATAGACTACAATCCCAAAGAGGGGGTTTTATATGCATGGGACAATGGACACCAAGTCACATATGACATTAAGTTTGCCTTCGTGGACCCTTAGTGAGGGTTTAAAGTAGTTATTTTAAAAACTAAAGACTATGGTTTGGATGGATTGTAGATCAGTCCACATGGCCATCAGTATGGGGACAAAGGAGGGCCAAATGTATGAATATATTTCGGTATGACTAAAATGTTTTGTTTTTTTAAGAAAATTTTAAAATAAATTAGCGATGAGCCTGATTCCTCTGTTAACACATCATGATGTACTGTATATATTGTTATACTGTAAAAACAAAAACGCCTTACTGGTTAAATGAATGTAGAAAAAAATAAGCTTCCATCAGATTCACAATTTATAACAGAACCAAGTTCTTGAAACGTAGTCTTTAAAGATGTCGCCAAATGATTTTTGTGAGAGTACAATCTCTTTTTTTATACACATTATTTTGTATCAGTTTTTTCTCTGCATCATATACCACAGGTTTTCTAAGAGGTGATATCAAAGAAATTGCTTTTGACTTTTGTCTTGTGAAAGCACTTAATCCCTCCACATCAGACTGTTCTGATGAAGCTACAATAAAGTCGGAAATGCTTACAGAACACTTTGTATTTGTTTGGGTAATTGGTTAACTGTAAGGATGCAGGGATAGAGGACCAGGCCCATTAAGTGCGGATAAAAACACATAATTACAGATATACAAAGCAGAATTTTAGAAGTTTGTTACTGGCTACAATATGAGTAAATATATGGTAAAAGAAAACACCCAGAGACCGTATCTGCTCAACAAAAAAATAAAGTAGTAGTGATATTCCTTTAACAGCCGAAAAGATGCACACAAGCGTGTAGTTAGAGAAAATCCAGTGTTTATTTTGGTATATTTACATAGTAAAATACAGAAAAACAAAACCTCACAATAAATCTTGCTTTGTCCCCAAGTAATGTTTAAAGGCAATGAAAACAATGGGGAGGATAAAATAGATATTCTTAGAAATCAAAGGGAAAACAAATTACACAGCCTTGCTAAAGAAAACCAAAGCAACAGGCAAGTTCTTTTCAGTCATTTTTTTCCGGACATCCTTTGAGCTGAAGCATAATCTGAACAGTCCTGTAAAAGAAATACACTTTCAGAATGTGACGGAACAATCAGTCTTTTATACAAGCAAAAAAGTGACTTATTCTGATGATGTATAATTTTGTAAGACACAATCTCTACCCCCCTAAAGCAAGGTCACAGACACATTAATATAAGGCATTCAAAGCCAGAACTGATCTCCCCAGATTCTGAATGTATAGTGCAACTTTATATAACTCATTATTTTTCAATGTAGGCATCAGTGCACCACGTAAAAGTGCAATTCTGCTTAGGACGGAGATGTCCGGACTTGGATTTAGAGTTGTTAAAAGTCTAATGTTAACCTTCTTTTGCTCATCGGATGAGGAGGGGGCAGATTCACATTGCTGAAGACACATTTTTTCGAGGGATGAAATCTGAGGATGTCCAACCAGGGAACCCACAATACAGAAATCTCCCGATACTAACATTTAAGAGGGTTTCACTCTAATCCAGAATTTATTAGAAAAGTTTCAAAAGCATACTCAGAAACATAGAGAACACGTGGACAATAGAAATGAGGGAATCGCCTCAAACCACAGAAGTTGGCACTGTTGTTAATTATCATAATAACAAATAAATATGTTAAGTGTCTGAATATTTTAATGAATATAAAAGAAGCACAGTGCAAAGACCCCCCCCCCCCAAAAAAAAAAAGAAAACAGAAATTCTTCATCTATAAATTGCTATAAACTAAGCACCTGAAAGCTGAAAAAACAAACAAACAACATAGTGGTTAGCCTGCTAACTTTTGTCGATCACCTGACTTCCTGAGTTTAATGAACACCTCTTTTGCTGCTTTAGATGACTAATTCAGATAATTTAATTAGCTTTTAAAAAAAACATTTTTTCATTTTTTTTTTAATAGAAATTCTAGCGACATTTCCTAGTTAAGTCACACACAGACTATTGTGTTATTAAACATGAAAATCCCAAATGTTTTACTCTGCCTTTAGTTGTTCAAGCTCCCTGTGAGAATTATCTCTGGCTTTGATGCTTGTCCCAAAAGTAAAAAGAAGGAGCAGACTGAGAAGAGCTACTCTTACGTAAAGTATTTGTGTTATGAAGAGGTGACTTTGGGTTCAATGCTTGGCACCCTACAGCTAAGCAATTACCCTTATGCAGGCCGTCTGGGGTTACAGAGAGAAGTCAATGTTGCCACACAAGGAGCTAGCATCTGCTAGGACTCTGTTACAGAATACCTCTGTATATTAGCCCCTAATAAGGAATGTGGCTAAGTGGTGCTGACAATTTGACTTTCCTTTGTATTTCAATGACAAGTTTCATTCAAATCTTAACCATAATAAGAAAACAAGTGGTAGTACACCAAATTTAAAATACACACACACAAAAATTACATGAGGTCTTATGTTCTGTTTGTCTTTGTTTTTCTTTCCAAAAGAATCCTGTGCTGCTGGTGATCTTAAGCAGACCCCATTAGCACGCCGACAGGAGGCGCCGCCTGGTTTTCAGTAGGAGAGTTCTGGTAAAACGTGTTTGTGTGGTTGACCCGCAGCAAAGGCGGGATGGTTGAAGACCTGATGTGGAGGATCCGGGTGTCTGTTACTTCACAGTCAATCTGCATCATCACCTCGTAGTCTTTGTCTCTTATGATGCTGTCTGTAATGGCAGGAAAGAAAAGCAGAGGCTTGTCAGTTGATTGACATAATAGCAAATCAATTCAATCAACTCTCGACACCAATGTTGTTATCCAAATCGTCAACAGTATTCATTGTCATTATTATTGGAAGATATTTTCTGAACTGTTGCAGAAAAGAGACGATTCAGAGGTATATTGGGAACATAAAAGGAGTATTGTTGGAGGCAGCTGGGGGCCTGAAAACCACAGTGAGTTCTGGTGGAGGCAGGATAACAGATGGAGTCCAGAGGTGAGTCACTTATTGGATTTCTCCATCATAGAGATAAACAAAACTGCTCCAAACAACAGTGGGACATGAAAATTGAGAGGACAAAAGGACACAACTGGGGAAAGTGAGGGAGAGAGAAGGAGAAAAAAAGAATCACAGAATCACAAAAGATGAGTCAGGAGGCTTTAGGCGTCTTCTGATCAGAGAAAGGGGACATTTTGGTGAGAATGAAAGAAAGTAGAACATGTGACTGTATATTGATGAGTCGGGATTTTGTGTTTGAAAAAAAAAAAAAGAAGAGACCGCAACATCCCGCAGATGGTGTACAGCAGGAAGACGGACTGAAGTTAATTATCAAAGGGAAAACTGTTCCACAAAGTCAGCCTTTGTACATTTGACCTACAAAATAATTACACTGTCTTACTCCTGGGACATTTAAGTTTGGATAAAGATTTTGGACTCGGTTTGTGGTCTCCTGCAGCCTAACTTTGTTTGAAGTGGACTAACTTGTACAATTCTTTGCAAGAATGAGTTGTCATTACAAAACATTGAGGAATACATTCTGTATTTATATCAATGGGGGGAAAAAAACATTTTATCTTCCTATGTATGTCAGAGAGAGAGTCAAAAATGCTAACAATGTCCTCCATATGGAGCACACAAGCCTAACAAACCAAGTGCATTTCTATATGACCCAGAAAAGGAGCTGTCTGTGTCTTTGAAACGCCTGAGAGCACTGTGAGTTGTTTTAAAGCTGCAGCCTTTTTCCAAGCACCTGTGCAAGACATCAGCTTCTTCTGCCTCTGCAGAGTCCATCAGACGTTTGCTTTAGCGGCAGAGAGAGCTTATCAGATGATGCTGTAAGAATACAATAGCCTTCTCTGCAGCCGGAAGACTCCATGTATGTTTATATCATTAAATGGATAAAAGACATAATGCAGAGTATGACTTCATCTTCTGCTGAACTTCCTCTTTTGCACCTGCAGTGAAACTGGAATTTGGCTTCACTTTTTAAACAGACATCTCTGGAAATCCTCCTCCGAGTTGTCTTATGTACTTTCTCACGCAAAGTCTCTCATATAACCCTTCTATATGAAGCCAAGCTGGAAAAATCATTCTCAGTGCATCTACATATAGCTTGATGATATCGATACTCATTTTTTCCCCCATGGTTCAAGGCCCTGTCATTGCTTTGAAGTCAAGCCTGAGGATTCTGTTCTGTTGAAAAAATAAACTGCTATGACATAACTATGACTCAGCTTATTTCAACCCAACAATAAATCAGAATGGCAGCACATAGTGTGAATATGGCATGTGCATAATAAAAAAAAAAGTGCAACCATGGAGGAACAAAATACAAGCTCACTGACTGGCTGTTATAACTGAGAAGAGATCCTGCTGTGGACAGGAGGCTGCAATCTTTGGTAGTAAAAGCAGACAACACATGTATACATGAAGGAGTTTTCTAGTCATTTTGAAGTTTTCTTTATTACTGTGAGTAAATCACTTTTTATTTTACTAAGAGAGCTTTGTTTTTTCAATTGTTTACCCAGATTGTCTTGACTTTAACCAGCAAGTACAAAGAAAATGAGAAGAAAGAAACTGATTAATATTACAGCCAAAAAAGTCTGTCTACAAATCCTTTTCCCTGAATTACCACAATGTCTGTATTCTACTCAGCCAACTGTTGGAGAAGCCTGAACACTCAAACAGGAAACACACACACAGCCACGAGGCCAAACTTCAAACAGGAGCTCTTTGAAGAAGCTGCCAAATCTACCATCCTGCTCTTACATGATCCCCTTCCCCCTTTACTAGTGCCATCTGGAGACCTTCCAGAGTGTTTCAGCGACACACTGAGCTGGTGTGTGCTGATAAAACTCTCATGTCTGGCAGAGATGCACCTTAGGTAACCTGAGAGTGCATCATGGGAGGATTTTAACTGCAAGGCTGGAACAAACACTGAGGACATGTTTAGAGGAGAGAGACATGTAACAATGTATCTGCATTTTCAATCTTACTTACTCTTACTGTTGGCATTTTAAACTGCTTCTTAAGCTGTGTTTGCACTGATGCTTTCACAAAAATTAAGTTCATCGCAAACAAACTAAGTTCTTTTAGTATCTGAATTGAATAAAAGCATAATTAAAAGGCTTGATAAGGGTGGATAAAAGAAATGGAAGTCTTTAAGGATCACACTGGATTGATTCAGTGTTGACATCATAACTTTATAATCCAGCATAAAATTCAGGAAAGTTTGATTCAGAAAATCTTTACATTGTGCATAACCTTAACAGAATTTTAATGAGCAAGTTGCATTATCTACAATGGAGAGATGAAGAAAATGTTGAATCATAAAGCATTGTTTTACTATTAAGAATGTCACAGGCAATAACAAGACTATAGGCGGTTACAGACCGGGGTTTTGACAAAAGCGCCGAAACGAAACTCCGCCATCATTACCCAACTTTCACTACCTTCAATGGCGGATCAGTGTTGGAACATCTATTTTCAATCATTCCAAAACCATGCGTTACATGCTGCACACGAGGTGTAACAGCGACTCGAGTATTCCTCCCTCACATGGCAGCCCGTAAGCGCCATGCTAGAAACTTTACTT